TGTGTGTGTGTGTGTGTGTGTGTATCAGTAACCGTGTCCACTTTTGAACCTCAATCTTGACCATGTCAACTGCCCCTCTGCTAAGAATCTACTATAAATTCATTTCCTATTGGGAAGCTGCCTTCCTGCTCAGCTTCACACTCTTCTTTGGATTCCACCAAGTTTAATCAATGAGTAGGGGAGACAGCTTCCCATCAGTTTCAAACCAAACACAGCAGGAGCGAGCAGCGCATTCGTTACACCGAGATATGTGACATCAATCTGAGGCGCCAGCACGCATGGGGCCCAGTCACATATACAAAACACTCACGCAAGCCGGCGGGCACAAAAGATACACTAACAGCGGAGACAGACGTGCCATCACATGCACACAGCGTGATGGACAGGGACCATCATGAGCCTTAACAACTGATAGTCTGTGTCGTCTCGCACATCAATCATCCTCCATCACTGGACAGTCACTTAGGCCAATCATCTATCACTTGCCTGACCTCAAGAATCAAAACTGTGATGCTGCTTAGCATCTAATAGTTGCTTAAAAGCACTAATAATAGGTATGAGGTCTTAATGTGCAGAAGTGACAGTACGTTTCATTATAAAACACGTAGAATGGTCTGATTAGTCTACTATGAAGGAACAGGAAATGGGTCATTTCTTACTCAGTGCAACTGAGGGAGAAGTGATACTCTATGACTGGAGTGATGAGGAATGAGACTGGACATGAATCACATGTGCTGATCTTTCTAAATGCAGCTTTAACCTTTATGAGGTTTTCACTGTCACTTTTTATCAATCAGCGACTCACAAAATAGAGCAGTTGGTCATCATTTTTGCAAGGAGGATGGATGACAGAAAGCCGACTTACACGGTCATGTTGTGCTGGCTCACTGAGGTGTTCAGAACCGCGGACAGCACCGAGAACGTTACAGGAACTAAAAACAGCTCACAGCTTCAACTCTTGGATTTTCAAAATAAACTGTTATAGTTAACAATAACGGAAACATGCATTTGAAATGGGCATCTCCTGCATGTGCCAGTGTTTCGCTCTCCACTACATCGCCGCTCTTATTCTTCGCACGTGCAAGTATTACTTCCCATCATGCACCACTCTATGTGCATATCACATAATATCTTCAGAAATCCAATTATCCAAAGGTCAAGTGAGCAACCAAGCCCCACTGTGCTGCTCACTACTGCAAAATGCCAGCACCAGGCTGCCAATACTCGCATAAATAAAAAGTAGAGCGATCTTATGACACTGTTGGACCTCCTGTCTCCCAGGCTATTCCTCTTAAAGCAGAGGAGGAGAGTCTGGTGAGGGGCTGGGGCAGGGGCCCACAAAGGTGTATCCCTCTCGTGGAGTAAATAATAGCTGAGTGGCCAGGAAGTTCAGGACTGGTGCTTTGGGTTTTGTCTTCAAGAAGCATCCTAGCAACAGCACCCATCCTCACATGCAGAGTCTACCAGTCAGGTCTGTGCAGACCTGCCATCTCACCTAACTCTAATCACTTTAAATGAATAATTAGTCACATAATCACAGTCGATAGCCCCCCTAGTGCTGCTTATGATAATCGCTGTCTCTACTTCACCTGCTCTTCCTCCGGTCTCTTAATTGATTAACTATGTTTGCCCTGGTAATAGGTTGCTTATTAAGTGCCACCTGTGGGACTGCCAGGTCAGATGGAGACAGAAGGTTAGGAGGATGGTGTTACAATAACAGTAATTAGAATGCAAACTTTGTTAGCGTGCAAACATCCTGCAGACATTATATTTTTCTCACCAGGTGGCAGGTGAGAACACTGATCCTGGGCCTCCAGGTGAAGGAGAGCAGGCCAGAGAAGCAGATTGTTGGTTTGGCCATGAGCCAGCATCAGCATATTGGAGGAAAATCACTGACCTTTTCTCACAGACTAAGCTAGGGGTTTCTTCTTGTGTAGCTGTGAGTTTTGAGATGATGTTTTAGCTCATGGACAGCTATGAAATGTGTGCCCTTACCTCTTCCCATTGGTGGATGTAGCGTATTAATCTGGAGAGCCTCAACAGCCTCAGGAGACTCAGGATCTTGGTAAAGCGGACGATCCTCAGGGCCCGAGCAGTCTTGTACACCTCTGAGTCGATCCCCTTCTCTACTATAAGGAATATGTAATCCACTGGGATGGAGGAGATAAAGTCTACAATGAACCAAGTTTTTAAGTACTTCTTCTTAATGGTTTTAGGGTCCAAAATGATGTCTGAGTTGTCCTCGATGATGATTCCAGTGCGAAAATTAAGCACAAGGTCCATGAGGAAGAAGGTATCGGACACCACGTTGAAGATGATCCAGGGTGTCGTGGTCTCGTCCTTGAAGAAGGTGATGCCCACGGGGATGATGATCAGATTGCCCACCATGAAAAGCAGCATTGTAAAATCCCAGTAGAACCTATCAGGCGTGTGTGTGAAGTGGAAGTGGATGTGTGTGCGTGACAGTGCATTTTAGATGGGTGTGTGCACAGAGTACAGGAGGGAAAAAGAGGGGAAAGGGGAAGAAAAGACAAAAATAGAGTCAGATGAGAAGAGGGATTTGCTGTGGAAACGCAATAGGCACAAGAGACTGCCTGGCTCAAAATGGAAAAGTGTAAACAAAGTGCAGCCAAAGTGGTATTTTTTACCAGCATGAGCATGCAGAGAATAATGGGGGGGTGGGGGGGGGAAGATACTTACTTTTTCCGATACTGACGTGAATTATAATCAGCATTAAACCAATTTCTTTACACATTTTAGATTTTTGTAACAAAGCAAAAGGAATCTAATGATTATCACTGTTTGTGTGAGTAAGGACATGTAGCACTGCTGTTCCTGTAATAACTCAAAAATTTAAATGCAAATGTTTAAATGATGGGTTAAACCATGGAAGGCCTTTTCATCTTCGTTTCTGAACCACTGGGTTTTATTTTGGCTTTGCCTCTTAATAATAATAATAATACATTTTATTTATGAAGCACCTTTCAAGATACCCAAGGACACTGTACAATAGATAAAAACACATAATAGAACAAAGACAATGAAGAACAATAAAACTAAAGCATAAGATAAAATTAACAAACAGTGGGTTCACAGTGAATATGCAGATTTGAACAGATGGGTTTTGAGTTGAGATTTAAACTGGGGGAGAAAACCAATGTTTCTTATATCTGGGGGTAGAGAGTTCCACAGCCTGGGAGCAGAGAAGGTTAGAGAAGGTTAGCAGAAGAAGTTCCTGAAGAACAGGGGTGATGTGCTGGTAGGAGGGGGTTCTGGTGATAATGCGAGCAGCAGTTCTGAACCAGTTGAAGCTTATGGAGGGATTTTGGGGGGGAGACCATCCAAAAGAGAATTGCAGTAGTCAATACGGTAGGTAACAAGACTGTGGACAAGAAAGGACATAGACTGGGTGGAAAAAGAAGGATGTAATCTGTTAATGTTGCATTTGGCAGGACCGTCTTCATTGTTTAGGGTCCTGCCAACACTTATACATCTGCATGTTTAAAAATCAGTATTTAGGGAATATAAATGACCAGAAAATTCCTTTTTAATTTCTTTCTGTTGTTCAGACCTCATTAAAACCGGATATGTATGAATATAAGCTGAATTTGCGACCAGCAACAAACAAGGAAATGTTTCATGTTTTTGATTTACTTTAATTTAATAACACAGATGCATGCATTTAGGATTTGAGTGAGGAAGTGCTGCATAGGAAGTAGCCTATTATTAAGATCAGCAAGTAGATATCGATTGTTTTCTCTCAGGTTTTACATCTGGAGTCTGAGAGACTGCAAACAGAGGGATTTTCTCACTATTTTTATTATTTTTTATTTCTGAATTCTGAATGATCTGTTTAAATCCATGATTGTATTCTCTTGTCACAAAAAGTCGCGCATAGATTGTGTTAAATGTGTTTTTGAGCTCTCCTGGGCCCCAACAACAGAAAATGAGGGCTCGTTTATACGAAACTCTCAACAATATTACGGTATTGATATCAAGAGGACGACAGTCTCGCTTACTTACTGCCAGTGCTGATGTGACAGGCTGGTAAATGGGACAGAGAGCAAAGTGTTGAGGTTTGATCCCGTCACAGGAAGCTCTGCAGGACAGGTGCAGCGCTGAGTCATTACACTGCGACTTATGCAACAGGAACTGACTCCCCCACCACACGACAACAACAATAACCGCCCCGATGATGATATTTGAAGCAACTTTGTTGCTTTAAGATGCATTGATTAGCATAAGTATCAGGGGAGGCCGCTAGCTTCTCGCGGAGTGGGAGTCTGCGAGCTAAACAAAGGTCTACAAAGTGGCCTGTCGTCAAATTGCATCTCTGCTGCTGAAGTTATGTCTCATGCTTGGTGTCCTGACACCGTGTTACGTGATACGAAAGGGCCAAGCGTGGATGATGAGTGATGGGGGTCTAAACGTAGCGCTCACACGCGCGAGCCGACTCCAAATGAGATGGGAGCTGTCCACTCCCTGTGGTGCTGAAACCAACCCATCCAGCCCCAGAGTCAAACCTGCTGGTTTTTTGACCCAAATTCAATCAGGCGACTCATACGTTTATAATAAAACGCTGAAAGGCAAGCCTCAATCACGAGGAGCCCTCTTCTCTGGTGCTTCCTCCAAAATATTTGAATGACAAAATAGCTGCTGGATGTCCAGCTGGGTCATCGGCGTTTGAGCCGCAATACAAAAGAGCGCATCCGTCATTATAATGCACAATCCGGGGAGTCTTACAGGCGGATATGTCTCCAGTGAGCATGCTTGAGGTTTCCGCACACTTGGCTCAAGGTGACATTCCATTACTGAGTGCATCACATACACACACACTCACACACACACACATACATATACATCCTGTCAGCAAGCTTTTGTGGTAGAGCCTACACTGCACACCTTATCCGGATCCTCAAAGAAATAATGGCATTTTAAATGAAGGCAGCTTCAGAGCGCTGTCCCCTTTGCTAAATGAGATCGCACTGCAACGAAAAGTCGAGGTATATTAGCAGGCCTAGCTTGTTGAGCACCCCAGACATGCTATAGTGTGGACTACAATGGGTTTGTTTACAACCTTGAAAGGACACTCTTCGCTAAAGTCGGTTTGCCTGACAACAGGTTGTTTGGCGGGGGGATTACAGGCGGTCCGATGCAATGCATCGTTTTAAATCTCTGCGGGTTCAATCATAAGGGACGGCATGAAAAACCAGCAGCTGGCAGCCCCGAACAATAAATGCATGTGTTTCCAAGGAGTCCCAGTGGTTAGGCTACTCACTGCAAAGTAAGTTGTAGATGACAATGAGGACCCTTGCGAGCCCCTCATGTAACCAATCGCACCCACAGCTCTTACCTGAAATCGCTGTAAGGGTGGATAATCCAATTTCCAGCTGATTTTACCCTCTCCTGCTCTCTCTCCACTGCTTTTTGACTACCATACATGCGCAAGGAGAATTTGTTAACTCCAGGCTGCAGCATACTGCTAAACTGCCGCTGCATGAAGCTGGCTTGGCTTCCCCGAGGTTCTGCATCTTCGGCGGGCACAATTGCCGGGCCATCCTCCGGCTTCTGGAAAGTGACAGAGTTCCTCGGCTGCTGGGTCTGAGTCTGAGCCGGGCCGTGTAGCGAGGACGAGGCTTTCCGGCTTGGTGCGTTAGAGAAGGACACCTTGGAGTCCTTTTTCTCGGGGACTCCGCTGGACACGGGGTTTGCGCTTTCTCCTCCGTGCCCCCCGGTCAGGGACCCGCCTGGCGTGATCGAGCCGTCCATGCTGGCGGTGGTCGAGTTACAGGCTCCTCGCTTGGCGCTCCCCCCGTCCTCGGCTCTCCCCGATCCCCCGGTCTGCTTCTCCGTCTTGGAGATGATTGAGCGCAGGCTCCCGGTACCCGAGTCCCTCCTGCATTCTCCGTTTTTGTTGCATTTCATGCTGGAAATTGGAGCGACGCCGTTGCAACCATCACCCGCTGTCGCGTTTAAAACCTCTACCGCGACCGCTGATTCCGACGCCTCCACCCCAGAAGCTCTGCAGGTCTCGCCGCGTTGGGCAGCATCGCCCGGAGAGGGTGTCTCGGTAGCTCTGGAGGCAGCAGTGGGCCGTGGGGCGGCAGGAGCGTCCTCTGTGTGCGTAAGGCAGGGTTCCTTGTTGGAGTTTCTCCTGGAAGCCAAGGACGAGGCTCCCCCTCCTGGCGTAAAGTTCTTCATCCTGATACTGCCGCCTCCTCCTCCGCCTCCGCCGCTGCCGCTCCCCCCAGCTCGGCGCAACCGCGGATGCTGAAACTTGGACTCCTCTTCTCCGTCCTCGGTCTCGTCCATCACGACGTTGCTGGGCACACCGGACAGGTTAGCGCTCGCTGCCCCGGGAGAGCCAGGGTCCAGACAGTTCTGCCCGCTGTTGCTCCGCGTGCATTTGGATGAGACAGCCTTGGCTGCGCTGATGTGGCTGCATCCAGTGCCGCCCTCCGCCTTCTTTTTCATGGTGGCAGCAGACGCCGGCGAAACCTCATTCCTGTCCATGACATTGAGCATATCAAATTTTGCCTCCAATTATCTTTGAAGAAAGCCAATCAGAGATAGAGCGAGGAAGGAGAGGAGAAGAAGGGGGAGAGAGAGGGAGAGATGGGGGGAGAGAGAAAGGAGAGAGGGAGGGGTGGACGTGACTTATTTGCAAACTACTGCACTTATATTTTCACTAGTCATTGTGTCAGAAATGATTAAGCATCAAATTAATTGGGTTCTTTGCGTCAAATGTCATTACACCATTAGCCTGTGCTCTTCTAAATTCAGTTCAGCCTGCATCCAGCTGAGGCCTCTCAGTCATTACCTTAAACATGAATTAAGCGTCATGTTTAAATCTAAAAAAAAAAAAAAAGAAAATACCTGACATGCTGCCAATTACTGAATGTTTTTCCCTGAACGTCAATGCAAACTGAAATTAATTCATGTGTTCTGTAAGACGTTGACAATGTCAATCTTCCTTAAAGCATGTTGGTGCCTTAGCTGGTGTTTAGCACCCTCTAGTGGTCATAATTCACTTTATGATTCTGGCAAAGCTCTCAAATGTTATCCATGGCACATGTTCAAAACCAGCAACAGATCTACAGTCTGGACTCATTTCTCTACAAAAACAAAGTGCATTGAAGATCCCGAGGGGACATGCTGAAACTCACAATATTGATTTTTGTCCTAAAAGCTTTTTCTTCTTATTCATTCAACTTATTTATTGCTACACATTTGAGTCTAGTAAAAAATATCCAAAATATGAATGGGTCCAGTATAAAGCTTCTTACATTCAAAACATACAATCCATCATTCTCTTCTGCCATAGAGCAAGAGGCAGGCTACACCCTGGACAGGTCACTAGTCTGTCACAGGGCTAACACAGAGAGAAGACAACCATTCACATTCAATTTTCACACCTATTTAGAATCACCAATTAACCTAACCCCACTAACTGATTGTCTTTGGATTGTGGGAGGAAGCTGGGGTACCCAGAGAGAACCCACGCAGACACGGGGGGAACTCCACACAGAAAGTCTCTGGATACAAGCTGGATTCCAACCCAGGACTTTTTAGCTGTGAGGTGCTAACCACTGCCAAGTATACAGCTCATGAAACAAAAACTTCTGTTCTGGTGCTGTCCACATTTGGCCTTTTTTTTTTTGTTGTTTTTAAATGCTTACTCTTATATGAAAAGGAAATACCAAGGAATAATCAATTATTCCTGTCCTTCTCCAACACCTGAACCACAAAAACAGAACAACTTAACACTCAGAAGTGGAGTCAGCTACTGCATAATCTGGCAGAGACTACCTGTGACAAAGGTCGGCAAGAATACACAGCAGATGTCATGTACTGCAACGACTGTGTTGTGGTTTCACCTGCAAAGTATGAGCACAACACCAGCTGCTTCCACATAGTGAACAAGTAAATATCCACTGGCATCACCACGTTCCAGACTAGTAGATAGTCTGAACCCACATGTAACACCAGCCAAAGCCACAGAGGTATAGCTTCATCTCTACAGATTTAGGCCACGATAATCGAGTGTTCTGCCACCAGAGGAGAGATAGTAGCTAGCCTCTTTTCTTTGTTCTAGTTTTGGTTGGGTGCAATTTTGGCCACATATATTTTAAAAAAAAATGGTTGTGGTGCTTCACAGAATCTGGCATTTACACAAGAATATACAGTAACTAATCCCACTTAGCAGATCTGATCTGCGACATCTCAGAAATTTCTTATCTTTTACTATCAGTGCTCAGAAGTCATCTCTGCCCCCCCCCCCCCCCCCCCCAATGTAGTCTTTCTCTCTGTCTCCCTCTTTCTGCTGTCTTCCCCTTGCATCATTAGTCAAAAATGTGCAGCAGCACTCAGGTTCGGTTTAATTTCCTGGTAGTGGTGATGTAGTGGTCTGACATTCTCAAATGGTTTCCAGCTAATTCCAGACCAAAGGGAGGCAGGAAAATTAATGTAGGTAGCAGAAAAGAAACTCTCAACAAGTAGGTAGGTAATGTGAGTGGCCCAGAAACATGTTGGTGAACACAAGAGCAGAACGCACATGCTATAAAGGTTGATCCATTAATCAAACCACATGTGTTAGCCCATATTGGGAAGACTAAGCGATGGCCTTATTTGTGTGGCCCATAAGGTAAGAACTCTAAAAACTAAAGAGGAATCACATGATCTGTAAGTCTTCCCAAAAGTTCTAAGGCTTAGTGATACAACATTTCTCCACTACAGCAGTTCTGTCGAGCTTGTGTAAATAAGTCACCAAAAGCTTTCTGTAATTGCGTTGACGTGCTGCCACCTCATTTCTTTGTATCAACAACTTGGAGTCCTTTAGCAATCTTATATTCATTTACTTGAATCTGAAAACCTCACAGGGCGCTGCAGTGACTCAGACGCCACCTGATTATTAAGGGCTGCTTAATTCAATGGGAACGTCTGATGTCTTTTTCACACATTGACAGAAATCCAAGAATGGCATGTTCCTTTCAGGGAAGTAGTTCAAGGCTTAAAGGTTTTATCAGTGCAGATTTAGGTTTTATGAACACTAGGCCTCAAATGAACTTGTAATGTTGTAAATGATCTATCAGAGTCATCTTCGTGCTCTTAATTTTGCCTTCACGGTCATTCATGATATGTATAAATACACTCATCAGCTACTTCATTAGGTACTTATTTCCTTAACATAAATATCTAATCAGCCAATCACATAGCAGCAACTGAGTGCGTTTAGTCATGTAGACGTGGTCAGGACGACCTGCTGAAGTTCAAGCCAAGCATCAGAACGGAGAAAGGTGATTTAAGTATCTCTGAATGTGGCATGGTTGTTAGTGCCAGATGGACTGGTCTGAGTATTTCAGAAACTGCTGATCTGCTGAGATGTTCTTACACAACCATATCCTGGGTTTACAGAGAATGGCCCGAAAAAGAGAAAATATCCAGTGAGCATTAGTTTTCTGGGTGATGTCAGAGGAAAATAGCCAGAATGCTTTGAACTAATAGGAAGGCCACAGTAACTCAATGTAATAATAAAGATGGGTTGGTGGATGATTTCTAGTGTTCTATTAAATGCTTGCTCTTTGATGCTGTCAGCTCCCTCAGCTTGTTTTCCCAGCTACTCATACTCTGCTCTCTGGGTCCCAAGGTGCTATCCAAGGTGCTAAATGGTGGACGCACGATTAGAACATGGGCACCACCTGTGCTAGCCAGCCTTCCCTGGGACTGCCCCATCCATTCCCTGCAGCTGAACAGCAGACCACATCCTGCCACACTCAAATAACCACTTGTTAAAACCAGGGTATCACACGTCAAACCTTGAGACAGAAAGGCTACAGCCACAGAAGACCACACTGGGTGTCACTCCTGTGAGCTAAGAGGAGGAAGCTTAAATTCACATATGCTCAACAAAATTGGTAAAATGAAGATTGACAAAGTGGTTCCTGGTCTGCCAAATCTCGATTTCTGCTGCAACATCCAGATATTAGTCAGAATTTGGTGAAAACAACATGAAATCATGGATTCATTCTGCTTCAGTCTGCTGTGGGGGATATTTTCTTGGAACAATCTGGACCTCCTGTACCAAAAGGGCTTCTTTAAAAAAATTTAAAAAAAACAACAGAATATTGTTGCTGACCATGTCCTTTTCCTTTATCACCAGTGTACCATCTTCTGATGGCTGCTTCCAGCAGGACAACGCACCATGTCACAAAACTCATATCATCTCAAACTGGATTCTTGAACCACAAATTATTAAGGCAGCGCTAAGAAGGTGTACCTTATAAAGTGTCCTTTGGTTGTTTATCATAACTGAAAGGCTTTGACTTGTGCCGTAATACAGAGAGTGAAATATTATAGTTTAAAATTTGTTGCATCACCATATCAAGTTTTTTTTTTTTAAGCCATTGATCAGTTTCTATTAAGCCACACATCATCTACACTGATTCAGTGTTGTATAACAATCACATATAAGGTCAGATACGCGATGTGGCTGAAAACGAGCATTGCTGCAGCAAACAAGACGCTGATTTACAACCATCACTTTACTACATGATCAAAAAAAAGTTTCAAGACATATGTAAGACATTGTTTTATCCAAAAGTTTCAAATCTCACATGGTGAGAAAACACATTAACATTTGTTATGACCCATTAAAGAAATCAAACCTCAAAACACTTCATCCTGAAAAAGGGAATGAGGGAATTTACATTTTTTAACATCCTTTTTTTCCCTAAACCTATAGTTTAACGTATACTGTATAGTTGAACCTCAGAGTAACTTTGTCAGCTGTCATATTTCTGTACAACGTCAACAAAAACCTTTAAATTTGTTTTCAATCACTTTATTGTGACTGTACAAAAATTCAGTAAATAAAATAATAAACACTTGTTTTCATGAAACACATTTGGCCAGTTCCACAGAGGTAAGATGATCCCATGCCTGTTTGCCTTTTCTTTTTTTACTTTGCAGGGGTCCAATAAACACACAGTTGTGAACATTTTCACTACATATCCCCTCCTAAGTTGTAACAATGTTCAACTTACCAAGATGCACCAAATACACTGAATCAAACTCTAAAAAAATAAATTAATAAAAAGAAAAAACACATCTTCAAAGATTTATTCAATGCAAAAGGTTGAAATGTTGCTTGTTTTTGTTCAGCAGTTGACTCACATTCACATCCCAACATGAGATTTTGTGCCAAAAAAAAAGAAAACCCTAAAAAAACAAAAACAAAAACTGTGCAAATAAATAAAAATCAGATGCACACTCTCAGTCTCCTTCCCGCAAGGTCTTAGTTTGATCCATTCGCTGTACAGTGGCTCGCAGTTCAAAAAGGAATTCTCTGTCTACACATCTACGGACTCCACCACCACAGGCAATGTTTTTAAAAAAAAAAGAGCATCTTGTCTTTTAAATATAAAATGTGTCCAAGCACTGCTGCAAGGACATGTTTTCATCAAAAAGCAGTCCAATCTGGCTTCAATTCTGCTCCGAGTCTTGTAAGAATCCCACTCATAACTGGACTGTTATTATTATCGTCATCATATTCTCCATCTTTTCTGACTCCCACCTCCTCAAACATTCTGTAACAGTAGCAGCGGGAGCTGGTCCCAATATCTGTTCAGCACAGAAGGAGGGAGAAAAACAACAAAACAAAACAAAAAAAATCCTAAAATTTGAGTTTACCTCGTCTCACTGTCCCGTTCACCTGAGACAGAAAAATGTCCTGGTTTCAGCTGCAGAGAGGAGCTGCTGGGTCTAAGAAGGGTGTGATGTTTTCTCTTGTGAAACAGTGAAAATCTAGGAGTTGCTGGCAGCATTTTCATTGCTAGGTGAGCTTGGGGAGGAAGAGGAGGAGGAAGAGGGGGAGAAGTTCATTCTCGATAACCCCGGCGGGTCTGTGGCTGTGTTTTGTCCACTAAGACTCTTCCTGCACACAGGACACGTATCATGCTGTAAGAGACGGGGCATAGGAAGTTATCACTGTGATCAGCTTTAATACATGGACACAGCAGTTTTATTCTCACCCACTATTAATAATTCAGTAAAATGGACAATTGAATTGAATTTAAACAACTGAAAGAAGCCTGGTTCCAGACAACAGCCTTGTGGCTACACTGTAGACATAATGCAGACTCTTCACTGGGTGTATGCTTCCACTGTAATCAATGAAAATGCCTACATTAGGCGTGACAGCAATAAGTAAACTGAGTGTGCCACAAAGAGCCACTCCAAAAACGTAAAAATAGACGACGCTGTTGGGTTGGGAAATCTTTTTTTAACTCCATAAATGACCTTTGATGCCAACATTTATTTAGCCAGTGTAGTCTGGCCATCTCACAAACTCAGTCAAACTACCTTACTCAGAACATGCAAAAGAGAGCCTTCAGTTTTTAGGCCCCTCTTCTATGGAACCAGCTTCCAGCTTGGATGCGGGAAACAGACACTATCTCTACTTTTAAGATTAGGTTTAAAACTTTCCTTTTTGCTAAAGCATATAGTTAGGGCTGGATCAGGTGACCCTGAATCCTCCCTTAGTTATGCTGCAATAGGCTGCTGGGGAAATTTGCATGATGCACTGAGTATTTATTCTTCAGTCATCTTTCTAACTCACTATGTGTTAATAGACCTCTCTGCACTGAATCACACTTGTTATTAATCTCTGTCTCTCTTCCACAGCATGTCTTTATCCTGTCTTCCTTCTCTCACCCCAACCGGTCGCAGCAGATGGCCCCGCCCCTCCCTGAGCCTGGTTCTGCCGGAGGTTTCTTTAAAAAGGAGTTTTTCCTTCCCACTGTCGCCAAAGTGTTTGCTCATAGGGGGTCATATGATTGTTGGGTTTTTCTCTGTATGTATTATTGTAGGGTCTACCTTACAATATAAAGTGCCTTGAGGTGAACGTTGTTGTGATTTAGCACTGTATAAATAAAATTGAATTGAATTGAACAAGCACTGCATGTAGCCAGTAAAAAGAGAGAAAATCACCGCAAACGGTCTGAAAACCCTCTGTGTCCAGTGCAACCAAAGAGTTAGTGTTGGAATTTGTTATTGTCAATTCAATTTGACATATTTCTGTAAACAATGTAATTCAACTGCCTGTAGCAACAGCTTCAGTGACAAGGTGATTTCTTCAGGACTCACACGTCATAAGCTGCTCAAGTTAGAGCAAAATAAAACTAAATAACCCCCACCAACCAGAAAACATCTGACCTCAACACAATGGCAGGATGAATGACAGCTCTTAAATAAGACAGTGCAGCCTGCATCCGACTGGTTTTGTAAGCCGTGCCCACTTATACACAGGTACTTTGGTAAACACTGCTTTTTCTGTTTTGGCCTTTTAGTAAAACAGAGCTTCTGAAAAAAAATCTTTCCAGGGTGAAGATTGGCTCACAAATGTCAGCAAATTCCTGGAAGATTGCTCAAAGTACCAGAAGAGACACATGATATGCACCAAGGGGAAAAAAAATGCAACTCATTTATAATATGGCCTGCAACTAAGTGTAAGACGGGGAAATATTGTGTTTTTCCAAACTACTGTGTAATGATGCAGTATGTGTAAAACTGCATGGATTAGAGCTTTTTTCTTTACTCCTGGAATACAGAAAACCACTAAAGTTTCAAAGCAGCAAGATTTAAGAGAGCCACCAGAGAATATTGAGAATCAGTGCTGCTTTTGAAAGTCTTTATTAAAACTGTAAAGCTATGATTTAGCAGTTAACTTGTTTACAGTATCATCAGAAAAATTTTAATTGTATTTATATAGTATCAATTCATAACAGCACTCACCTAAAGGCACTTTATACTTTAAGGGAAATAATCTAGAAGATTAGAAAAAAAAAAAACCCCAACTATCACACAACCCATTATGAGCAAGAACTTGGCAACATTGGGAGGGAAAAACTCCCTTTTAACAGGAAGAAAACCTTTCAGCAGAACCAGATTCGGGGAGGGGCAGCCATCTGCTGCAACCACATTAGTAGTTTATGAAGTACAAAGGTTATATAAGAATCAAGTGATCCAAAACAAACCTGGCTTCATATGCAAGTGGTTGATATCAATGAAATAACACAATTAATGTTTCAATCAGCTCTACAGTTCTGTTTGCATCATCCATTAAATATACATACCTGTTCCAGCCACGGTACTATACAGTCATTGTGAAACAAATGATTGCAGGGTAGCTGCCTTACACTCTCGTCAACACTGTAGTCTTCTTTGCACACGGGACACTCTAAACCAGCACCTGTGCAAACAGCAAACGACACACCATCTGTCTGTGCTCACACACACATCAGCCCCAGGGAAAACTGAGATCACGCTGATATAGTTTATTTGAGTTTAGGTAGTGTTGAGCAATTGTGACAAAGCCAAATGTCCCAAAAAAGAGACACTTTTCAAAGGCTGTTTTCTCATTATTAAAAAAACCCAAAAAAACCACATACTGTTGTTGAATCAGTAGAACTGTCTACATAGATGTTTTATTTATTTGTTTTTAAGTAGAGTGCATAGCTGAGCAGGTTGCAGTGAAATGTACAAAGAACCACACTGAAAATGAGAAGAGGACTTACTGACGTGCTCCTCTGTGATGGAAATCGTGGGTAAATTCTTTATCCTCTCTCTGTCTGCAGGAGGGGGACCCGTGTTTTCAAACTGGTTTAATAACTACAAATGAAAAACAGACAGGCTCACAATGACCAGCTGTGACCAAATCAGAATGACAACAAGGCCGATCAAATCAAAGGAAACTTCTCTTCATATTTCTATATGCCTGATCACCGGTGCTTCATTAGGCAGTTGCAAACGTGCATTCTTTGACTCTAGACACAAAAAAAAGAAAAATTTTAATTTGGACCTTCTCCTTTTTTTTCGACTCCACTCCCACTGTCACTGCTATTTTTAGAGTGAACCTTGAAATTCCTGTTCTGACCAGACCCTCATGTTGAGGATCATTAATATTGATGGGAACCGGGTCAATGAAAGCTATGACCCAGGGACCAAACCACAAGTTTCAGTGAATGAGTCCACAGTGTCCAAGCCTGAAGGCAGCATATCAGGTCAGGAACGTGACCTGGACGTGAAAGTTGCAGGAAGGTTAGAAGTGATGCTGGGCTGCAGAAGATGCTCCTTTAGACTGAAGGTTTTATACAATTCCAGGGGGATACTGCTTGTGACCCTAACTTCAGGCCTGCATTGTGCTTTGCCGTTTCCTTAAGCTACAACACTGGTGTAATTTCTACCATTTCTGTGTTTGTTGTGGTGGCTCTTTTATTTTGCCTCCATGCGCCTCTGTGTTCTTATCCTGTCCTCTGTCACATTAAACACCATGAATTAAAAACCAAGCTGCACATTTCACTAAATTATGTTCAAGTCACAGATACATTCTGAGCCAGTTAGCCTAGAGCTTTGTCTTTGGACTTCACCTTAATAACATTACAATAATGTCTGTTTTGGACTTCTGCAAAGACATTTAGGGGCATGCTGGTGTGTTACGTGTTAACCATGCGGTTATGTCCTGATGTTTCATATCCAGTGCCAGCCGATAGAAAAAAAAAATGCTGGGAGTTTTTTTCCCTCCTAGGTCCTCGTTCTTCGTTGTAGTCAGCCCCCCTCCCATCTCCCACAGAGTAATTTTTGTTTGTTCAAAAAATCAGCTGATGCAGATTTACATTTTAGCTAGTGATCCAAATTTGAAAGCCTTCAAGGTCAAATCTCTGAAGCCTCTCTGTGTACGTTAGTGAGACTTCCTGAAACACCAGAGGGAGGTTCCAAATGTTGTGCTCAACACTTTTAGATTGTTTCAGTGTATTTTTAAGTGCTAAACTTGCTAAAATGACCCCACTCTGAAATCCAGGGCCCAGGTCTTGTATTCACTAGATCACAGTATTCCTGCAACTCTGTTGAATAGATTTGTTGGACTCGAAAGCCAAGTATAAAATTCTGTTTCAGTTTATCTCTATTTTCATGTGAAAGAAAAACATTGTACATACCTGCGTAATGATAGCATCGAGCCCATTGGCACCCCAGGCATAGTCCATTGGATTGGAATGTAGCATACCCCTGCAAATTAAGAAAGATGTTAAAGTAAAAAGTCTCCTGAAATAAGTAAGCAATGTGTCTATCATACATTCTTAAACTTACCAAGGTCCCATCCCAATATTTGGCATGGCTGTAGGTGCTATAATTCCATTTACTAGCTGCTGGATAATTCTAGTCAGGAAAAAAAGAAAAATCACAAAAACAAACTACTTACAACAACCAACAGGGTTCAAACTGAGAAACAGTACTGTTACCATAACATGTGACATATAATATTTGCACATAACACAGTAACAAGCCAAGCTGTTTCCCCTGTCACTTCTTCTCAGTTACGCTCTACTGCAGAAAATGTCTCACCCCTCTAATGTGGGCACTCCTTCGTGTCGCGTACCCTGTCGCCGAGGAACATGCCGACCCCGTGGTTGCCGTGCACCGTATCTTTGCCGCGATGCCATTTCCCGCTCTCTCCTGTTTTCCGTCTCTCGGTTGTCCTCTGTGGGTAGCCGCAACCGAAGGTCAAAGTTTTCATCAAAAATCCCAAGGGCGAACGGACCATAACCCGGGGGAAATGTGAATAAGTGCTGGTGATCCATGTTCTAGTGGTAGAGACAGAGACAATGTCAAAATATAATGTAGGGCATAGGTGTCAAACTCTGGCCCGTGGCCCAAATTTGGCCCGCAGCCTAATTACATTTAGCCCGCGAAGCCATACCAAATTACTATTAGAGCTGGCCTACTGGTATTATACAGCTAATATATATATTGTTTAGTATTAAGCTTTGCTTGTTCCATATTCAGTTTTCCAGCAAAACTTATTTGAGTCCATAAGAAAAGATTCATTTTTATATCTGGAGGAAGGATTTTTTTTCCAATAAATATTAATGTTAGCCCGCCACTTTGTTCCAGTTTTGAATTTTGGCCCACTGTGTATTTGAGTTTGACACCCCTGGTGTAGGGTGTTAAAAAATAAAATTTCAGAACCAGCTGATTTATCACGTCACACTTACCTCCAAGACTGGGCGGAACTGATCACTGGAAGAGGAAGTAGAGGCAGACCCATTTTCAGCACTGCATAAACAGAAAGTGAAACGTTAAGAGGTAGAAATGTACTGAAATATTAAACTAAGTAGCGATACACCGATTTATCATCAGAGCATCAGTACACAAGTCCCTTCTGCCTATGGTCAAGATTTACTGGTGGCTCATATTTTGCACTGATGTTCTGATGCATTGACTAAATGTTCAAAGAGAGTGTGACGAAGAGCTAAACTTTGTTTCAGTGGACTTCTTCAGATTGATCCTCCTTACCTTCTTTCTTCAGGCAGTTCCTCAATAAAACCAGATTCACAGCGTGGACACGTGTAGTCCTACAATGAAAATGTAAATTTGAATCCCTGACACAAACACAGTTGTCTCTTTATTAGGTCGAACGCCAACATTATATACTTCTGCAACCCATATATATAATTATTATTATTATTTTATTTAAATTGTCTTTAGGAGCGTTTATGGAGTGCAACTTTATTGAGCAGGGCTTCAGAAGTTTCCTACATTTAAAGGGCACTGTGTCACACAGCTGAGCAGCAGACTGACTAAAGAGAAACTGTTACTGCAACATTCAAGAAGCTTCATGTGAAAGGCTTTGACAACAGTGCTGGGAGGTTGGTTGATGCCACAACAGCAGAGCCGACAGAGAGTGACTTTGTAATGATTTAACAACTACAATCAGCCAACAACAGTCTTTACTGGAAAGCATTTCCCGCTAAGCGGTGTCTCCTGAGTAAAAAAAAGAACAAGTCCCCTAAATCGAAAGTGAGCCCGCGGTCTTCCGTTAGCTTGCCCGTTAACGTCAAAAGGCTACCGCGGCTGAACTTGTCAAGCCCTTAACGTCAGCTCTACCTGGTTGTCATTTAGTGACGTTCGATATAATAAGGGTAAAACATGACATCTCAACCCGAGCGTATCCGCCAGCCTGATTAGTGACACCTGACTACCACCCCGTCCTTTACTACAGGGCTAGCTGAACTAGCGCAGCTAAACAGCAGCAAATGAGTCGAGAGACTCTCTGAGTGCCAAACCCACATAAAAAAGACAAGGTCGGATATTACTCATCATCCTTCACGCGGACAAAAGGTGTCTCTACGGCCCTTACCGGTAAACGCGGACTAATCTCTGCTGAACACCGGTGACAAAAAAACCGGCAGGGCCGTGGGGGAGCTTCAGCCATTTCTGAGCAGGAGAGCAGTTCGCACAGTACGGACGGGTAGCAGCAAGGGACAACAGCAACGGCTCTTGCAACAGGAAACGGAAACTAACGCGCACCTGACATGACAGGCAGGAAATGACTTCCGGTGTATTTACCTCCAAATTATAATTTCTGTTCTTCTATCTTACCATAAAACGAACTAAACGAATATATAATATAGAAGCAAGTCTTTAGTTTTATTTTTTGTCAGTTTTGTCAAATTTGAGGAGGCCCTATTGGTGCATTTTTGACCTACATTGGTATGGCTGTAAGACAAAGTGTTTTGTCTATCTGTATATTGTACTACCTTTTCAGAACGTTTTAAACCTGATCATTTTTATAATAATACGAGGAAGAAGGCAAAGAAGAAAGAGAACTAACCCATTTTAAACAATAAAAATGAACCTGAAAAGAAGCTGAATGATAACAATTAATAAATGATTAAAGTATTGCACTATAATTACTGTATTTTTATTCTTCTTTCGACTACTGCCTACTCCTCTGTCGCACGAATCCTCGGCATGTCCTCCTTCACTGCATCCATTTTCTTCCTGCCTGATAGCTCAATAGTCAGAGCTTGTGGTAACAATATATTCACTAGCCCTCCTCTTTACAAGTCCAAATAATTTCAGGGAGATGTGAAGAAAAAAAATCTTACTACAGGTTGTTTTGTTGTTGTTGTTGTTTGTTTATTTCTTTGTTTTCCTTTAGGGGTTTGAAGATGAAGGATAATTATATACATTGTTTAAGATTCGGAATTTAAGAAAGCATGGTTTTATTTAATTATTCTATACCTATTTACTACATAGACTTTAAAGTAAATGCGGTTAAGGCTCGAGGTAAAAATTATGCTTTTATTCTGGTGAGTGGAAACCGGAAGTTATGTGGGGAAATTCATCCTGAAGTCGCCCCGCTTCTACCGTAACTACTGCAGGCCTTTTGTGTCGTCCCTGCTCGTCTTCTTTAGAAGTGCATTTTTCTTCCTGCTGCGACCATGGAGTCTGGCGATTCAGGTAAACCTTTACAGTGAGATTTACACCAAATACGTGCAAACTGCACTTTAAGGTCGATAGTTTATCCGTTAAATCTCACAAGCTAATTTAGCTTGTTTGAACCAGTGTACAACGCCAGCTAAGTTAACTAGCTGTTGGGTTAGCTGGATCAGGTTTTAAATAAGATTAATACAGTTCAATAAATACACACTTTTAACTGCAGTCTTTAACAATCATATTTAAAGACACAACTGCCTCTTTAACCCAGTTCAGAGTTCGTCACATAGCTACTGAAAATTGTTTTGTTGCTCGAATAAGTGTTTTTTTTTTTTTTTTTTAAAAAGGCTAGCACTAGTCTTCGCCAGTTTATAAAATAAGTGTCAGATTTCCTGATATGCTAGTTGTTTCAGAGGGTGGCTCTATCTTTTGTTAGAGGTTTAGATTTGTTGTCACATGCATTGTATTTGAGGTCGAGGAGGAGGAGGGTGGAAGTCCAGACCCATCCAACCACAGAAAAGCAAAATGAACATGACTATTCTCCGTCAAGAAAAACTGATAGCTCAGAAGAAAAAAGAGATCGAAGAAAGAATGGCAGAACAAGCAAAAATGAATGTTCAAACCACTAGCAAGCCTCTGTCTGAAAGGTAATTATACACATCCTATCACGGCCCACATTCAGTTTGAATACCAACAATCTGATACTTGTACACGTGAATGTTTTCTGTGATGCCAGCAGTGACCTTAGACTTGAAAACATATTTTTAAAAATACCTTTTTACACTTTTATCCCTGTAGTTCTACCAGTGTCCAAGGGGCTTCCACAAATAAGTTTGCAAATGATGGGAGCTTCTTACAGCAGTTCATGAAGATGCAGAAGGAAAAGGCGCATGTGTCTGGTTAGTACCCAATTCTGCACAGCTTACTCAAAATATTGAATGATATTTAGCAGAGCTTTAGATGGGACAGTTTGCATTAGTATGCATAACCTAATTAATTAGAATCTAAATAATAATAGAATTTAGTAGAAGGGTTTTCCTGAAGTGTCTCCCTTTCTTTCTAGGTTCCATCAATGATGCCAAGACCCCATCAACCCCAACTTTATCACCAGGAGGAAATGCGCTCCAGAAAAAGAGCATTTTCGTTGGCCAGCGACCTGGCCTTGGAGTCAGCAGCATGCTAAATCAGTTCAAGAGCTTCTCACAGTCCAAGAAGAATCCTATTCTCAGCCAGAGGCCAAGTGTCTTTTGCTCTCCAGATGGTGATGATGAGGAAGAAGAGGCCGATTACTCCAAATTCTTAGAGATGAAAGGTAATTCCTGGCCTGTGTTTTTCATTGTGTCAGGGGACACCTCCATGGCTTGGACATTTCAGTGCATCCTCTGCGTACTCCAGTGGAACAGTTGCCTTGTGACTGGCATTTTGTCATTTGTGCCCTTTGAGTAAATGTACTCATAGCGTGCTTAAAGTCTCTCCCCCAGAGGATTCAGACACCAGACTCATTATCGACAAGATGGCTTCTTTTGTGGCCGAGGGGGGACCTGAGTTGGAGAAGAAGGCCAAGGAAGACTACAAGGACAATCCTGTTTTCTCGTAAGTTTGAAGGACATTGTCGCTTAACTTAGTAAGACTTATTTTACTCTGAAAGTTTTTTTCAGACATATCTGTTTACAATTTTTGTCCTTGTCTTTTAGTTTTTTGTATGATAAGAGCAGCGTGGAATATCTCTACTACAAGAAAAAGATTGCAGAATGGAAAAAGGATTTGCAAAGACCAGAGAAACTCTCAGATAATGGTAAATGGCCTTTTTACTTCACACACTTCCTTTTCTGCTTCTTTTCTTTAATCTTTCCTCTCAAGAGTTACTGTTATTGCACAGGAATGCATGCCGATACCGCATTCTCAGATACACTTGCAATTTTAGGTATTATAATCTGACTACTGAGATACTCAGAGCTCGATAGTGATGGCTAATATCGTGACTACAGAAGCCTGTAACTAATGTACTATTGCAACGGAGTTCATCATAACTTGATCTGTTTTGAAAACTGCATAGCAGAAGGCTCACATTTCTCAGTAGTGTTAGTGCAGCTTACCATCTACACCAATATTTTTTTATTTTAAATGTGTAACTTTTACTGTGTCTACTCCTAGCATATCTAAAACTGAGATATTTAGAAAGCAGCTGAACCATTCATGTATTTTAAAGTTCTGATCTGGATTGGCACTTTTCAACACCCACTTTCTGCTTCTGATTGGGTCTTTTTCCAACTTCATGCCAACACATCACAGCTAGCCTTTGCTTTTAACTGTGCTTAATATGTTGCAGATTTTGCTTTCAGACTCTCAATCTGTTTTCTGGCACAATGACTGTGCTATACTGATTTATTTTTGGATAAGTCTTTAATAAATAGAGTATTAGACTTTGACTTGAACGGTGTAATGAATGCAGATGTAAGTTTTAAATTATAGTCGTACTGTATGTTGTTGGAGTCTCTCAGGGCTTCATTCTTCATTTGTTACAGTAAACGCCTCAAATCCATACAGTTCCCCATTCACCACCCCTGTCCCCCTTGCTCCTCCTTCCCTTTTCCTTTTCTTATCCCCTATTGGCTCTAGACTGGTGGTGTATGAGGGCCAGTTGAGTACGGTACAGTAGTAGAGTGTGAATTGACTCCCAGTACTAATAGGCTGCTTAAAGTCTCCCCCCCAGTGGACGCGGAAACCCAGCAGGTGGCTGAGAAGCTGGCCAAGTTTGTGGCGGAGGGTGGCCCAGAGGTGGAAGCCATCGCTGCTGAGCGCAACCGAGACAACCCAGCCTTCAGGTAAGTGGCCATATCTGTTCCTGTGTCCTGCATGTCTCACATTTTCTTTTTTGATAGTTCGTCTGAACTGTATGAATCTTCTGTCCTTCAGTTTTTTATATGATGAACAAAGTCCAGCCCACCGTTTCTACAAAGAGAAAGTAAAGGAGTATCGTGCTGCAAACTCTCAGAACTCTGCAGATTTAACAGGAGATTCCAGGACAGCTGTTAAGCCACCAGCTGCTTTTCCAGTACCAGAAATCTCTCCACAGCAGAGCCAACCATCTGCACTTCACTTTAAGGAGTCAGAAACCCCACCTGTGAAACGAAAGAGGAAGAGCAGATGGGGGTCTGAAGAAGACAAAGTCGACCTGCCTATTCCTCTCATTGTTGTTCCTCATGAGAACAGTCTTCCAGACCCTAATGCACCATCACTTTCGGGTATTTACTTTACAAATGTGCAAGTACTGTTCATGTGTTTATTTGTAGGGGATGAATATTAATTTAACCCCAAACCTTTTTCTTGTGCAATTCTTTCGTAAGACGGTATTATGTGTTTTGCAGCTGACAACAAATATTGTTAAATACTTTCCAACTTATGCATGCTAATGCTCATAGCCATATTTCATAAAGTCCTCTGAACATTGAGCCCAGCAAGATAGTTTGACAATTAATGAGAAATTGAGATTGCTAGCATTATACATACTAATGGATATTCCCCGTTTTAGCCCAGGAGCTGAGAGGTCTGGGTTATAAAAAAGGGAAACCTCTTGGTCTGGTTGGAGTGACAGAATTATCTGAGGACCAGAAGAGACAATTGAAAGAACAACAAGAGGTATGGAAGTATTAAAAAAGAATACATAGTGTTGTTGCTTTAGTCTTTTAAATTTCTTTCAGATCATACAAGATTATAATTTCCTGGAAGTTCTTAACAACATATGTGTTGCTAACTGAGCAGGCGTTGTTTTTGGGGTTTTTTGCAGATGCAAGAGATGTATGACATGATCATGAAGCACAAGCGTGCAATGGCAGACATGCAAGTGATGTGGGAGAAGGCCATAAGAGAGCATCAGCACGAGTATGACAGCGATGAAGAGGTGGACCAGCAAGCGGGGACCTGGGAACATCGGCTCCGAAAGATGGAAATGGAGAAGACTCGCGGTGAGTTTTACCAGCAGCCGGGAAAATCATTCATTTACACTTTAACTCTATAGGCTTTTGAAGACTTAGTTTTTTTTTTTTTTTAATGTAAATGTCTATTCCAGAATGGGCTGAAT